AGATGATATTGTGTAATGGTTGAATATTATTTGTATTGTTCTATATTGTATTCAGAATATTATAATTATTTATATTTTTTTTAATATAAAAAAAATTAGAGGCAGATTATCCCCCCTCTAATGAATTAGAAAGGTAGTGGCAAAGAAGTCCTCCTCTACTATTAGAGGCAAAAAATGTCGCCTCTACTTAAGCGTCGAAAAATTCCGCCTCTGATTTAGAGGCGAACAGTTCCGCCTCTAGTTTAGAGGCAAACTTTTCCGCCTCTAAATTGTAGAAAATTAGTGGCGGACTTTTCCGCCTCTAAAATTAGCAGCGGCGTGATTAGCGGCAGAACGCAGTCTGCCTCTAGTTCCACTCTATATCTTGAATAGCGGCGGTTTATGTAGAATTAGAGGCGAACTTCTCCCCCTCTGTTCGCAATTATTTTAGTAGTGTTCTAAAAAGTTAAAATAGGATAAATACTCCTTAAAATCATCACTCATTTGGCTATAAATCATCCTTAAAATTGTTGAACTCTCGCTTAACCTGATACTCGGATTCCTATATTGCATTTTTAATTTGGTTTTTTTAGTCTCGTTTGACTCGGTCTATTTGATTTGTGTACAATTAAATCTAAAACCGACTTGAATAAATAAAAAAAACCTAAAACCGACTTGAATAAATAAAAAAAACCTAAAACCGACTAATATTAATAGGTTCAGTCTTCAGTCCTCCTTTTACTTTAATTGAGCCTTCGGTCCATTCTAGCTCTAATGCTTGGGTTAAGTTTTCTTCAATTCCGTATATTTATTACTTCTATGTTCCAAAAAATCTTTTTATTTTGTTTTTTGGTCAAACGGTAGAATGATTTGACCATTAATATATAAATATAGTTTTAAAAAAATAAATGTTACAAATGTTTGATATGGAGTATATCAAAACTAATTTTAAAATAATCTAAAATATACTCCCTCTGTTTCTCAAAACGGTTCCTCTTTTGACTTTGAGAAAAAATAAGGAAGTGTTAAATTGTAATTAACTTTCCAATTTTGCCCTTGATGTGATGGGTAAAAGTAAGATGTGATAGTTTAGTTGTTAGTGAAAAAGTATCATGTGATAGATAGGGTATGAAAAAGTAGGGGTAAAAGTGGTTTTTTAATAGAAAAGGGAAGTGTTTTAAGAAAAACAAAAAAAAATGAAAGAGAAAGGTTTTAAGAAACGGAGGGAGTATTAATTTTACATTAATTTTAAATGTATATACTTTTTCCATAATATATACGGAGTATTAAAATTCGGTAAGGATCTTTTGACTTTAGATGTCCGGGTCATATTATGACCCGGACACCTACAGTGCTCTTTTGGTAAAATTAATGGTTTTTAGTGATTAATTCCTCTAAACCACACCACTGAAACCCGGCCAGCTGTCCCGCTCCCTGAATCGCCAATTTGGGCTGCCCAAATCGACGATTCGAGGGATAAGGGTGACGGGTGGGGTGTAGGGTTTAAAAAGGATAGAAATCATTATTTTTATCAATGGAACACCATAGGTGCTCCGAGTCATAATCTGACCTGAGATTTCAACATCAAAAGAATCCGTGTGATAAAATTTGTAAATTTTAACTAGATGTATAAAAGACAGGGAAATTTACTTAAATATGACTAAAACGTAATGATTTTCTCAATATAAGGGTAGATCATATGTTTTTATTTAAGAAATCACCCTACATAGCATTCTAACTCACCCTAAATTACGCATTTAGCACTACACATTGTTTTTAACAAACATAACAATTTATGGTGTCAATCCTTTCCTATCATACCCTTTACCCCTTTTTCTGTTTTTTTCATTAAAAATTACGGCATTCAACTCCAATCTCTCCTTCCGTTCTCTCACACGCTATTGAACTCCACGGTCTCTCCTTCCATTCGCCGGCGATGATGCGTCCTCAGTCCTTCGCCCATGATTCCTTGGCGATTAGTAGTGGCAATCTTTGATGTCGCTAATCATTTTCTCTTCTCCTTCAGTTTTTAATTTTCATTCCTTCATCCTTTCATTCGGATTTCCCTGTATTTTTAGTATTAATTATTGTGTTTTCTTCATATAGAAGATTAGGTGTATGTTGTGAAATCAATTTTGAA